CCGTCAGCCCTGGCCAGGCTTTGAAACGCCCCGTGGGGGTGAAGGGCGGGGGGATCTGCCCTCTAGTTAAAAATAGATGCTCTCTTGTCAGAGGCCCAAGGACAAGGCCCTTTGTGACCCAACCTCACAGAAGCAGAAACAGCCCAGAGTGAGGTGGAGAGCGGGGTGCAGTGGCGGGCTGCCCGCGGGGCCGCTGAGAGGCTGGGCGCAGACCTGGCTGGGGAGGCCCCGGTGCCTCTGGTGAGCAGGCCTGGGGGTGCCCTGGGCCCCGCACACCTGTGCCTGGGGAGCAGCCAGGGTCATGGAGAGCCTCATGTCTTTAACTGTGAATTTAAAGTCAGACCTGAGAAATACGTTAGACACGAAAGTCAGGGTTTGCAGAGAGAAGGCGCAGTCAGCATTTCAAAGGAGAAGAGAGGAAATGGGCTGGCCCTGGTGGGCTGGCCGTGGATGGGGCAGGCGTGGCAGCTGTGGACAGTCTTCCCGGAGAGCCGCTGCCCGGGCACCCCGCGGGCCCCCCTCTGACCTGTAGGGCAGCACGGACAACGGCAGATGTGGCCACGCCGCCCAGGAGGCCACAGCCCTGGTGACAAGCTCAAAGGCAGAAGGAAGGGGGGATGGGGGCCCAGGGCTCAAGCCATAGCTCAGATCTCAGACAGCTGCGGTCCCACAGGCACCTGCGTCCCCACCCGCGTCCCTGCCTGCATCCCCACCTCTCGTCCCCGCCTCTCCCGCACAGCCGGACCCTGGTGGCTGCCGAGTGCACGAAGGAACCAACTTTCCAGAACTCAGTGTGGCTGACATCCCCCAGCAGCGGTGGCCGAGAAGCCCACTTTGGGAGGTACCTGAGGCCTCTCTCCCCCCGGTTTGTGCTAACCCTTCCCCAGACGTCCGACAGGACGGGGAGGCACCGAGCTGTGTCCTCTCCCGGGGCTCCCGCAGGCGGCGGGCGGCGGGCAGTGCTGCAGCCGGCAGACAAATTGGTGACACAACAGGGTCGAGCCTCTACTCAGCCGGACACTGACCGAATGTCACCAGGGGCCGGGCACTAGCAGGTGCTGGGGACCCAGTGCAGGACAGTGAGTGACACCGTGGAAAAGGGAGGGCGAAGACAAGCCTTCGCACCAAAACCAGAGAGAACACAGAGCCGTGGCAGAGAGGTGACAGCGGACTTGCTGCGGGGGCGGGGGCGGGGGCGGGGGCGGGAGGACGCAGTGCAGCTGCTCCCTGCCGAGGGCAGCACTCTGCGATGCCCCTGAGCGGGCCCTCGGGACCGGACGGGGGTGCCTGGCTGCAGCGGAGCCCTCGGCGCGCCGGCTGGGAACGGGTCAGGCGGTGACCATTTCCTGGCTGGCCCCGGAGTCCACACCAGGACCCACCAGGGGGAATGCGTCTCCCGGAGCCTGGGTTAAGAAAAGCGAATCCCGCCATCCGTTTTCCGTCGCCTTCAGGACTTGACCACTGTTCCGAACCGGGCGTGTCACGGGTGCGTTCAATTTTTCATTTGAAAATGTGCCTTTTGTGGTTCATGCCCGTCAAAGACATCCCTCAGGTTTCACGGTTAGAGAGTGAGCCTGCCTCCAGAGCGCCCAGGTGAGTGCAGAGCAGAGAGCCCTCGAAGCCCGGAGTGGCAGAGCCGCCCTGGGCTGGTCCCCTCGAGACCGAAGGCAAAGCAGCTCCCGGCGGACACCGTGCTGGACGGTCAAACGGAGCTGCTGGCAGGCAGCCTCTGCGCTGAGTGTGAGACTCGGGACAGAAGGGGACCCCTTGTGCCAAGGCAGGGCCCTGGGGCACTGGGGGGCTCCCTGTGGCCCACTCAGGGGGACCGGAGAACAGAGCCCTCTGGGGCTGGAAGGGAGAGGGTCCACCCACCTCTGCCCCCACCCCCAGCCCTCACAGGGTGGGTGTGCACGTATTATTGTAATTGTGCTCTGTAGTCACGAACAGTGTGCCTCGCACACCTGGGAAAGCTCCCTGAAATGTAGACGTTCTTTTCTCGGTTTAAAAAAAGCCAGCAGACTTTCACACACGTCTCTCATAGGAATTTTGATCTCGGCTCAGGGCACCGCCCTGGCTTGGAACTCCTCTGAGAGCAATCTCGGCTTAAGTCGGGTTCACAAGCACCCCTCCCCTTCCGATTCCCCCTCCCGAAACCTGCAGCGGGAGGTGCCACTTGTCTCCAGGCTACAGAGACTGGGCGGGACCGTGGCTCTGCACCCCTCACGTTGGATTTATCTGCGGGAGTGAAAACAGGGACCAGGGAGATGGCTTCTGAGCTCTGTCCTGCCCCGTCCATCTGAGGGACTGGGCACTGTGCTGGGGAGGCCTGTGTCTTGTTCGGCTTCTCACACCGTCAAGGGCAGGGACTCGGGTTTGGTGGACCACTACCATTTCCAGTGGCTTCTGCCTGCCTTCCCCCGTGGGGTCTGAACGCGCGTGAACAGCCAGGCTCCCAGCCAGGCCAGGCAGCAGCATTCAGTGCTACCTCGAGACTCCCCAGCCTCCCTTTCCTGAGCTGGTTTTGGAACAGCGATACCTGTTTAAAAACTACGACACCCCGGGCACCAAATCCCCTCTTCCAGAACACGGGAGGTGGTTTCCAGGGGGGAAATGCCTGTCTACGAGTTACAACCAATGAGTTGTCTACAGCTACCAATTCGGAGGTTTCCCCAGGAATTTCTCAGGGACACCTGGCCTGCACCCTGGTTCACTCGCTGCTGGGTCTGAAGAGTCTCCAGCGGCCAGATCCTGGCAGGGTCGGGTCTCCCTTCTCGGACGGGGAAGGGGTGGCGCTCGGGCCTCGTCCTGCCCTCGGGCTGCTGGTATTTAAGGGACACGGACACCCGGAATGCAGGCTGTTTTCAGAGCTGAAGCACTGACCAGCAGCTCACCTTGTACTCCTTGCCGAGGAGGGCTTTGGCCCGCGGGGAAGGTGAGGACTCAGCTTTCCGTGCGGTTGCTTACACACACTTGCTACATTTTTACCCAAAGGAGAGTTAACCAGTGAGAAGACAAATCACACTGAAGAAGGTGATCTATTTAAACTTACTTTTTATTATCATTTTTTTCCAGTTACCCAGCATGCCACAATCTGATTGCTGACCTGGATGAAACAGTGAAATAAATGATTTACAAAGAGTTATTTACATTCATCTGGTTTGTATGTAACGTGCCGCAGCGCACCGCGACCTTCCGGCTGGACACGCCTCCGACGCAGGGGCCGCACCGCCACCGCCACGCGTGTTCCCGAGCGGGCCCTGCACGGCGGACGGGCTGGAGCCGAAGTCGGACGTGGGGAGACCTCCCGGCGTGGGTGTGCGGAAATGGCCTCATGTCGCTGAATTTTTAAACCCGCCCGTTTGTACGCTACGTTACACACACGGATTTCAATAAATGAGCTTTGGAAAAGACTGGAATTGTGATGTTTACTTTCCACCTTAGAACGATGAACAAAACACACCGAAAAGGCACATGTTTTAACCAGGCCAGAGGGTACCGAGGACCGCGCCGTTCCCCTGCCACTCGGTGTCTTTCCCTCTTCGAGACCTGCACACCACCGCCCCCTCTGCCCCCGTCAGAGTCCCGCAGGACCCCGCCGGCCCCCACCCTGCCACCTGGTCCGCGCAGGGAGGCACCGGCAGCCCTGGGCACCGGCTCCTCCACTCGGCTCACAACCAACGCAGACAAAAAAGCATCTCTGGCTCGGTGGGGTCGGGTCTTCCCCCCCGACACAGTACTGGAGAGGGGCTGAAAAACATACTTGGTGAAACTGCAACACCCCTTAGAGTTTTCGTCAGTGTCTGGACACGGGTCTTTATTTTAGTTTAGAGTAGCATTTCAGCTACACACAGTGAAGCCCTCCAGTGCGTGGGAGGGACAGAAACGGGCAGAGAGATGCTGTGTCGGCCACGAGGATGGCAATGGAGCACTGGAGGCCGGGCTGCCACCGGGCCAAGCCAACACCCGGGCCAGCGACGTGACCGCCCTCTCCACCTCAGCCCCCCAGGGTCAGCGCGGGTTGGGCTGCGGAGGGGGTGGGGCGGCCCACGGGCAAAGACCGCCCGCATCTCAGGAGCATGAAAAGGTTCACGCCCGCAAGAGCCGAACTTCCATTCAGAGTCAGAAGAAGGTTTGTGATGTCATCGGATGTGCTAGACAGAAATGCTGTCACACAAGGTATGTTAGTTGTCCCTAGTTCTGGTTCAGGAATACAGGAAATAAATTATACAATATTCTAAAAGTAGCACCTTTGAAGGAGTATACGAGGTCACTTGACGTTAGCCTCCCGGGCCGTCCACCCCAGTGGTCCTCGTGAGGGACGAGCGCGTGTAAGTGTGACCGACACATACGTGCTCGACCAGCTTTGGTCCCCAAGCCGTCCCTCGGGCTGGCTGAGCCGCAGGGGCAAGCCCAGGTTCCACGACAGCGACAGCGCGTCTGCGAGGTGAAGTCAGAGAAAGGCCCCACCCACCAGGACTGCAGGCGGACCGGATCGTGGCCCGATCACCCCACCCGTCCACTACCCCCGTCTACGCTGGATCTGCCGCGAAGCGCTAAGCATCAGTTCTCAGACAGGAAGCACGCAGGGCCACGTCCCGGGAGGACTCTACTGATGAGCTACACACCTCAAGAGTTTTGGGCCCAGACCGTCTGGCGTGAAGGTGATTGGGGTCTTACAGACCTCCAGGGAGACGGCCCACCCCTGGCTTCCCAGTGCGTCTGTCCTAAACCCAGGCCGGGAGGGAGCTCAGCGGCACCCCTCTGGACGGAGTCCTTCATCCAAGCTGGTACAACTGCACTAGGGCCATCTCTGCACAGTAATGAAATAATCCCACGTGTGTTCTGAGCCGTAAGAAATTCACATACTTCCGTCACGCTTTAGACTGGGTAGGTTAATACCAGGTGGAGCTATTAGAAATCTTTCTTCTTTCCAGAAAAGAACAGTATTTAATTTTCTGAGATCACAGAACCACGTCCAACAACAATAAAGAGAGAAGTAGCAGATTGACATAGTGCTTTATTTGAGCTGTCTGTACGAGGAAAATAATGTGCACCCTATCATATACGTGTAAAAATACTAAGGATGTACAGTGTACAAAAACAGTTTCTTGTAGTTTATTTCACATCCTTGTGGGTCATATGCTTCAGGAAATAAACAGTTTTAGTATGACCAACGGTAAGAGTAATACAGTTTCTTGGGTTCATGGTTGCGTCCGCTTAAAATCCTTACCCAGATGACTAGATCTTGCGTGGATCTAATGAAAGAAGTCAAGAAATGTCACAAACTATAAAGCTACAGGGAGGTAATTCAATGACCAATTTAGAGGTTTTCTTTTTATTTAAATAAATACTTTACATTTCATGCTTGCCTGTAATGCACTACCGGGAGCAAGGTCAGGAAGTTCTACTGAAGACAGTACAAACGTAGCAGCAAAGTGTGTACGCTGAGGTGTGGTATATAGACCCTGCAGTTAGTAAGGAAGGCCCTTACCTTGGTTTGTACTCTAGGAGAAGCAAGTGGCCCCTGCGAGAACAGTCAGCTCTAAGAAGCCGGAAACCAGGTGTGGGAAATGGAAAACAATACTGGGATGATGCTATGGCATTAGTGTGTAAAGCAAAGCTGTGGGCCACCCTGCCGAAACGCCGCGCGGAAGTGGCCCGTTGTCCCCGCGAGGGCAGACGTCACGGCCGCTCCGCAGGTCAAGGTGGAGTCTGCACCGTGGGAGCTGCGTTCTGCTAGAACGATGCCGGGGTCCGGGCCTCTCTGCCGGCCGGGACCCAAACGACAGCTACGGGCAGACACAGGGGAAGCTCGAGAAGCCTCCCCGACACATTCCTGTCTCTCTCTCCCGCCTCCACGCCAGCTGACTGACACCTGGGAGTGAGGGGAAGGGACGATTCTCAAGGTCGAAGCCAAGTAAACACCGGCTGGACTTGCACAGAATCCTGGGGCGGGGACGGTGGAGCCCCCATCAGGGGCAGGGGGCTGAGAGCCAGCTGCGAGGAGTGGCCAGCCTGGGGCACTGCCAACGCTGTCACCAATCTTGACGCTGCGTCCTTGGCCAAGGTCATGGAAATCACTTTAAGGTTTGGAAAAAAAAACAAACCCAAAAAACAAACAGACCAAAAAAAAAAACAAAAAACAAAACCAAACCAAACCTGCTGATGCGCTCAGTGTCGGGTGCCACGCCTCCCCTTGAACAGACCCCATGCTGTGAGCAGCCAGTCTCAGCTCTCTCCCCCTCCTCCCATCTGTTTCTTTCTTAGAAAATGAATGCAAGACAACTTACAAGACATACCTTCTAGTCTACTTTCTTGTCACGGTGAAACATTCAACATAATTCCAAGTGGGAAAAAAAAAGCTGAGCGATATGTGTAAGAGTGAACTGCCGTTTACTGGAACTTCCTACTCAGTACTAAGGGTGAACTTCACTCAGGTAGAGATATGAGAAACTAGGATAAGACCTATGTCTGAATATGTCTTAGCTGCCTTAGTAGAATGCCCGTTAGCCCCCGGCAGTCCCAGCGGCCCGCCCACCGCCAGCAGTGGCTTCCTGGCTGTGAACCCACACTCCCGGCGCTCAGAGGCTAAGACATCTGCATGAGAGTATGACTCGTCCCGCTCGGAAAGTCACTTGCTCTTTCATCCAGTGATGCCATCACAACACTACATCGCTCTGTGGTCTTCCATTTGGGAGCTGTCAGATAGTTTACCTAAGACACATCTCCATGGTCACTCCACGGGGCCACCGGCCCCCCCGCCTGCCGCCAGGAGGGCCCCAGCCCCCGGATCTCATAGGCTGCTTTGGAAAACGTCAGCTCCTAGCACCAAAGGGTTTAATCTGAAGATCGTCGTCAATGAAGGAGAAAGATGAGGTTTGCATACGTGTCCCCGTTCAGTGAGAAATGTTGGAACTCGGGGACGTGAGTATATACAGAAAAAGAAAAGCTGGAGGTGTTCTTTTTGTTTCGTTTTGTTTTGTTTCCCTGATGGCTTAACTCAGTGATAAATGTACCAGGACCGGAATAAACACACCGGGTTCTCATCTCTGCCCGCCTACTCCGGAAACACTTGGGATGTGTTTATTTTGCCAAGTCGGTTCATTTATCATCGTCTGGGTCTCAATTTTCTTCATCTCATTATGTCGTCAGGCTGTCATGACATCTCAGTTCTCAAACGAGGGAACGCCACCACCCAGTTGCTCCGCTCACCCCTTGGCCTGGGCAGTTGGGGGCTTCCTCATTTGTAGCACCAAGGGGTTAGATGACAGCATGTCTCCTCCCAAAGCCAAATTCTAGACAATGTGTACAACTTCAGAGCCTCGTCCCCATTGTGTCACAAAGGAGAAAAAAGTGCATGAATCTCCTCACGTGTGCATTCCCGCACGTGGGTCAAAAGAAACTGCAGTACGTCTGTTTTATGGAAGTTGGAGCTGCATTGGCTAACATGACACAGATGCTCATCACTAAAAAATAAATACTACTGCGATAGAAACAAAATCGTAACAGGACATTCAAAGTTCTGACATCTGAGAAAAAGCTCACTCCCGCAGAACTGAAATTAAAAATCAAAGCAAATACGGCAAACGCTGTTTCCCTTGGTGTACAGATTTTGGTGAGAAGCAGGATCATTACACCTGTCTACATTCTTCAGCCATCAGAGGCGATAAATATTATCAAGGAAAGAGGTTCCCAAGCACAGGGGGGAAAAGGCTCTCTGGTGCCAAGCCTGCCACAGGCCCTCGTCGGGCGGCGGCTCGGCGGTGCACGCGCTTGCTTCCTTCCGCGCGGAGCCCGTGACGTCCGCGGGGAACGCCAGCTTCCTCTGCAGTCTCCGACGGGAGTTTAAATACACAGCGAGATACACGGACATGTATCTCCGCAGGTGTTCAGTCCTTCCCGCCAGCGCTTCCTAATGCATTTCAGCCAGATCTTAGTGATAGATGCTTGCTTTATGCACTGCTCTGAGATGCTCCGCTAAAACCTGCATATGCACACCACCACCCTTCCACAATTGCTTGTTCTGGACTATGCACTAAATCTTCTCAGTCTAATTAGTTTTTGATTTCTCTTCTAGAAAGTTAGAAAGTGTACCTAGAATCAGTGTATCTCACTTATCCTTCACTGTCAGGGGAAAACGGAAACGGAAAGGTCAGAAGATGCGGTTGGTGCACAAACGGATCGTGGAGGGCTCATGACTTCCCCAGATTGTAAAGTTACCTCTTAAAGTTGCTATAATAGTAAGACAGCAGCAGCAACAGCATGAGACCTTAGACTGAGATACAAGTTCATGCAAAAACGAAAAGTCGAGTGGATCTGCGTTATGGGTGTTCTCGGGTGGGCGAGAGGCGGCGAGGGGCGAAGACCTGGGACCGGTCCGCGTGGCTGTGGGCGCTCCTGCCGTCTGTCAGGGCGAGGACCGGGGTGATGTCCGGGAACTGTTCTCAGTGACCAACCCAAGGTGACGGTGAAGTGGCGGCGTGAGAGAGGCTTACTCGCGTCCGCTGGCCGAGTAGGAGAACTGCGGGAAGTGCGGCCGCCGCTCGTTGTCCACGCAGTCCATGCCGTCCTCGTCGTCTGCGGGCGGGAAGCGGCTGCGTTAGTCTCACGCCTGTTTCTGGCCCCACCTCCCCGCCCGCACGGGTCCAACTTCTAACGTAACGAAGACCAGCAGAGGCAACAGCTCCCAGAAACTCGTGTTTATCAATGAAACATACGGCAACTAGACCTAATTCTACAGGCTCTCCATTTCAAACCCCTGACCTATGAGGAAATAACACCATCGAAGCATCGCCTTCAAGACATGTTCGCGGACTCAATAAACTAAAAAGCCACTACTGAAGAAAACAAGATTTTTTTTAATCAGAAGCAACAAATAACCTTTAGTTTCATGAAACTGTGCACGTCAGAACGACGGATGCAGTGAATCTGAGGCACCTGAACCGTGTGCCTAGACCCACTGCCAACTGTCCTCACGGGCTTGTGCTCCCCCTTCAGGGGGCTTCCCGTGTGACTGAGAAATGAACCTTCGAGTGACTCCGCTTCACCTGAGTCCTGGACTACACGTTTGAGATTTTACATCTATTCTGCATGTAATATCTGCCTTTCCTCATCATTCCCAGTTTTCCTAGGGTAAAACTTTAAACCAGAATGAAGAGAGAAGGAGGGAAGAGGTCAGCGTCTAAGGGCGGGTTTACCAGGGAACAAACAGGGAGCAGAGACTGAACGAGGTGAGGCTGAACTCAAAGACCCAACCGTCTCTTCTCCAACGAGGTCATTCCACTTCCTCGGGCGCATGCGGAGATGCGCCACCACTTCCTTCCGCTCCCCAGCCTGTCTCCGGGGCATCAAGTCCGTGTAACGGGGGAGAACACAGGCCAGACCCCGCTGCATCGTGGGCGCTGACCCCGTCACACACAAAGGACGATGCTCTGCGCTCCTCCAAGAAGAAGGAACTTTTCTGCTCTTGTCCCGTTCTCCTTTTCTGTATTCTATTCTCAACACAGAACAGAGCGCATTTTGTGGCTCCTGCTCCCCTCGAACCACTGACCTCCAAGGGCTTCTCTCCTTTTAACGACACATTGCTCAGTACCACTGCGCTTCAGGGGAAGCTCTGCCTCCTGAGTCTACAGTATCGGTCAGGCACCAAGCAAACCACATGCATCTTCTAGATGAAACACTTTCTATGGTACTTTCACCTCGACTAAAGACGTAGGAGCTGCGGACGGTGTATCTATTGCCGAATCACAAAGTATAAAAACTCTAGAGAAAAGGAAACCAAAATCTTCTGAAGGTAGAGAAACTAAATCTTGTAGCTGATTATACAAGGATGCCTGACCTTGACCTTGTTAGAGTCAGCTCCTGGTTCCTCACACTTGGTCTGAGGGCGGGGCTGTGGGCCGAGGCAGCAGGACCTCTGGGTCCGGGGATCCTGGGCCCTCTGTGCTACACAGGCAGATGGGGCTGCAGGGGGACGGGGCTGGAAGCAGGTGACAGTGACATGGGTAACTGCCTGACAGAGCCTGTCACACCCCATCAGCAGACATCAGACATTCCTGCTCTGAGAGGAGCTTCACAGGCCACAATGGCGATAATGGACGTGAACTATGCTAAAAAATAAAACAAAACCCAAAGACCCCAAGAGAAGCCTCAGCTCTACATCCCAGCCCCCCACGCCCAAATCTCTGTTGTCTAATATTCTTAGAACATTTAACAAATGCAATTATATGGCAGCAAAAGCTACTAGATCTCACCGAAGTCCTCTTTTTCTGCACAGGAAGGCAGAGCACCACTAAGGCACGTAATGCAGGATGACCCGTTCCCAAGCCCGCTCAGTGAATTAACACCAGTGAGGACGCCCCGGAACCTTACTGCAGCGGTTTGTGCGAAAGGAACACTTTGCCTTTCTAACTGCTGATTTGTTCCAGAAAAATAACTGCATTCTGTTTTAGGAAAGCAAGGTGGCAAGTGGGAAGACAACCCCTAATGGCACTGGTGCCGCTGTGCTTGTGCAAACGAAACCTGCTTGAGTGGTGAGAGTGCCACGTAGTCCCCCCCCGTGCCGCTGTTCAAAGCTGGAGCAGGAAAGATGGCGGGAAATGCAATCCCAGCGCCGGGCTCCACCGACTCTCCTGTGACCCGTCCACTAATGGGACCTGTGAAACACACAGCCAGGACCACCCACCTGCAAGCACTGCCTGTGGGCCCTGGAAGGGCCCGGGATGTGGTTCATGGCCCGAGACCAGTCCCGGCCACAGGAGCGCAGGCCCGCTGAGCCCGGCCGCACAGGACAGGCCGCTGGGGTCGCCTGGCCTCAGCCCACTCTGCTGAGCAGTTTCGTCTGGTTTCCTCTCTAGACCTTGGACTGCGAAGTAAGAAGGCAAGTTCACAGTGCCCTCCAGACTAGTAAACCTGTTAGACACGCACGTTTTGGGGGCCATCCATGGCCTAGTCCCAGGTCAAGGCCATACCTACTGTGCGCAGGAAACGCAGACGTGACCAGGCCCGCAACCCTAGGTGGATTCTGATGCCACTGTGGGAGCTACTGCAATGTACGGGCTAGCCCTGTCTCAGCCTCGCCCTCTTCTAAGACACGGAGGCACTGGGCTCAGCCAGCACAACCCATGTCTGAAATGGCATACATTCTTTCAAGAACGGAGTTGCTGTTAGTGGTAAAATGCGACATGCCTGAGAAAACAGTGTTGTAACATTCAGTTCTATTGTGCTGTGCATCAAGAAGTTGATGCAGGCTCAAGGTGTGGCTGGAACACAGGGATGGAGGGGGACATGGGTCAGGAGGAGGTCGGAGAGGCGGGCGGGGCCCAGACCGGACAGGGCTGCGTGGGCCGGTGTGAGCGGTGTGGATTCAGAGTGCGTGGCGAAGCCGCTGGAGGGGCTTACGCGGGGGAACAATGCGGTCTGACCACGACTGCGGCCGTATCGGTCGTTCGGACCGCGAGCCCGAGCAACGACGCTGCGGTGGAAAGGGCAACAACTCACTGGCGTCACCCACCGTTTCAGTCCCTCCGCCCCCCTCCACCCCGGGCCAGCAAACCTCGCCAGGCCTGTGCCCGCTGTCCCCACTCAGACAGTCCTCGGCTACCTGCACACGACTCCACGGGCCTTCTAACACTGTCCGAGACACTCAGAGATCCCAGGGGCCCGGCAGTGGCACACAGCACAGCGTGGAAGCCCGCCGCCCGACCTCGGGTGACAAACCCCGCGTGGCACTGCACTGACTGATACTCCGCCGCTGAACCCGGGCGGCCAGGCTGCTGAGTCCCGCTGGCGGCAGCCGACACTCGCCGTGGGGCTGGGGGAGGCTCAGCGTGTCCCTGGGTTTCAACCTCTCCCCTTTTCACACACAAGTTAGGAGGTTCCTTTTGCAGGTCTGAAGGAGGAACACACGAGCACACAGAATCCTGTTTTTCACTGCAGGTTGCTCCCAGCTCCTTGCTGTCAGGCCACGAGCCCCAGAGGGAGAACTCCTGGCCGGAATGACACGTGACGCCGTGTTTGCCTTTCAATGCTCTGACGCAGTGAGCCATGTTCAGCTGATGAGCACACGAATTTCTAAAACCTGCAACGCCTGACTATGTCGTCAGGGGCACTGAGCTCTTTCCCCTTAGACTGTCCAATAAAAGAAATGAAAACAGCCAACACAACCATAGCTGTCCAGCGTGAATGAATCAATATCATGCTTATTTTTTTGGTCAGATCAGCAAAAACGATTCATTTTTGGAGTGCCGCAGAGTTTCGGTGACCAGTTCACTCATGCCCCAGGAGGGAGAGCGGGGACAGTCCCTTCTCTGATCTACTGCGGTGCCCACGGCAGGCACCTCCCTACACTGCAGTTTTTCTGCTCCTGGCCCGCGGGGTGCATTTCCGCTACCAGTGGACCTGCCTTTTATAAAGGAATGAGAGGAAGAGACACATGGGAAAGAATATAAAGGAAAAGAAAAGGAGAAAAAAACTGGCATGGAGTCACTGTGTGATTTGAAGACACCTTTTAGCTACCTAAATACAGCCTGAAAGTCAGTTCGACCCTCATTTCTAAACTCACGGTGACAGGCATGCGCCTCTGTCAGCCTGTGGGGATGTTTCTAGATTCCATCTGATAACCTCTCCTTTCATGAGAGCCCGTTTGTTTAAGCCCCTTATCGAAGTGTGGGACGCAGACTGATGGAGGGGGGTGATTTTAAGTGGTGCACAGAGTTGTAACAGATAGGGACTTTAATTTATATGCACCAGAAACTACCAGCAAACTAAATCTGTCTTCACAGACATTCTTGCTTAGGACAAATCTAAGTAAGTAAAAGAATGATTCAACTGAAAGTGAATTTTAAAGCTAGTAAATAGGAGACCAAAATTAGGGAAATTCTGGAGGTAGTATGTGAATGGGAAACACTGAAAGTCTCTTTCGAAATCCTTTTAGCTGATGTCAAAAGAATGTCAGAGAACAGTACAGAGGAGCTAATTAGCCTGTAATTCTCAGTGTACAGTTTTTCCGTATGTAATTTTTCCTACCAGAAAGAAAAACTTTTCTCTTAGCTACTTTTCTTTGTATTTCCACATTGGGAACTAACTCCGTTCTTAAGTGAAATGAAGTAAGTTGCTGTAGAATTTGTTCTTGAAAATATAAAAAATGACCGTTTTCTTCGATTCTATTATCTTGCTATGAATCACCTTCCAGATTTACTTACATTTTTCAGGTGGTGTTATGGTAATAGTCTGAGCTGTAAATTCTTCATCAAAATATCTGGTGTCTGTCTCAGATGTTACTTGAGGCTTAAAAGGAGGTACAAGCTGTAAGAAGAAAGAGAAAGTAAGGTTAATAGACTTCACTTTAGGAAAACTGATTTTAAGATAAAATGGGAGCACAAACAACTAACTGAAGACTGCTGAGTCACCGCGGACGGTTGATGAGGCTGCCCGTCAACCGTCCAAGCCCAGCACAGCAGGAGAAGGCTGTTCTGAGTACAAGGAGAGGGGTTATGTGAAATCGAACACACGAGAACCCAAGAAGAGGGTGGGAAGAGCTACTGAAGCGTGTGCCCCTGTCTTTTCCCAGTAACACCCATGCACAGGACCGGACGGAGGTGGACGAGCTGCAGAATGCAGGCTCCTCCTGGTGCAGCGAAGGCACCAACTCGCTGCTCTCTGCTACTCTCTTCCTGGCACCCGATGGACAAGGTATTATTCAAAACACAACCTAAAACACAGTTACTCTCTGGGCCACGGAGAGGGTGCTGCCTTCACACCTGGCAAAGAACTGGAGCTCTGCTTGGTGGAGACAGGCATGGATGCCTGGCCTGCTCTGGAACGGGGTTCTCAGCAGTTACGAGCCCACGTTTGCCCAGTTTTCACCAGACCCTCGGAGGGGGCTGTGCCCAGGAGAGATGAAGAGTAAGTAACTGCTCTGGGAGTGACAGAAGGGGGCTCCTCAGCCTCACACCTGCCGCAGGCATGGGGTGGGGGCTGGTCTCGGGACACTAGTGGTTTCAGAAGCCTGAGCCCAGGAGCCTCCACCTCTGCGACCACCCCAGGGTGGGGGTGGGAGGCAGCGGGCCAGGATGGGGTCCTGCTCACAGGGCTCTGCCTCCACGTACAGCCTGCAGGCTCTTGGTAGTCTGGGAAGCCCAGCCCCCCCTCCCACTCCCATCCCTCGCCCCGAGTCAGCGCGTGCAGTCTGATGAGGAACGCTGGGAACAGGAGACGCTGCCCTTAAAATAAAATCCCGTGGGGACGGAAAACGGAAAATACAATAGAAGGACAGAAGTAAGTAGTTTTATAAAGATTTTACAGAAACATAAATACAAGATTGGCTTTAGATCAATGCATTTTCCCACTCTTACTGTCACCAAATTTATGTTAAATCATGCAAAAATCTTTACATTGTTTTCTACACAGGCTATGTTTAAGAAAAACGGAGAAGGAGAATTAAAAGCGTGTTTTCAAACTCAAGGATCCCAGGCGACACCACGGCCCAGTGCAGGAGGGCAGGTCCGGCGGCTCGGGCTCCTGCCGACATCGGCGGGGCCACCTTCCCAGCACCAGACCCGCTAAGGCCCGGCGGGATTGCGCCACAGTCCCAACTTTATTTCCCTAATGAGTAGCCATCTTTTCCATGAGTTTATTTCTTCGTTAGTAAAATGTCTGTTCAAATATTTACCTGTGTACATATTTTCCTTGTCATGAAGTTCAGAGACTTCTTTATATACTCTGCATATACGTCTCATATCAGAGTTGGGAATTTGTGAATATTCTCCCAGTCTGTGCCTTTCCTTTCTCTACAAGCGTCTTTTAAAAAGAACATTCTTAATTTTGACATAGTCTGACTTACCAATTTTTCTTTATAGATTACGCTTCTGTCCTCATCTACAAAATTTCTGCCCCTACCTAATACCACAAATATTTTCTCCCGTGTTTTCTTCCAGGAGACTTTACACTTAGGAATACAATCCACGTGGAGTTAATTTTGTGTATGCTGCAAATTCTTTTTTTAAAAAATACACAGATGTCCAGTTGTTTTAGCAGGATTTGTTGAACTGAGCTTTCTTTGTACTTTCACTGAAAGTCAATTAGCCACGTACGTGTGTACGTATTTCCAGATTCTTTATTGTGTTGCACTGACTTCTTCAACCATCTTTACAGGAAAATAAAGATGTTATTTGTCCATAACAAACTGTCTTGATTACTGTGGCTTAATAATAAACCTCGAAGTTGGATAGTACAGGTCCTTCAACTTTGTTTTTTGTCAAAGTCGTTTGGGCTGTTCTAGGTCCTTTGCATTCCATATAATTTTTTGAATCAACCGAACAATTTCTACCAAATTGCCTGCTAGCATGTTCATTAAGATTGTGGTGAATTTATATGCCAATTTTGAGAGAATAGACACCTTAAACATATTATCTCCTAAACCACGCACATAGCAGAACTCTTCACTGCTTTAGGTTCTCTGTGCTTTCTCTCGACAATATTTCTTAGTTTTCAGAATAAAGGTCTTTCATAACTTTTGTCAAAATTATCCCTAAGTACTTCATATTTCGGTTATTATAAACAATATTTTTATTGATTTTCATGTTAGTCTGTTGCTGCTGTGTAAAATTACAGGTTTTTTTTTATCCTGCAATCCTTTGTATATTTATCTTGTATTAAGCAACGCATGGGTTAACCTTTAGTGGCTATTTTGTAGATTTCATCTGATTTTCTAAATAGATAATCAGGTCGTCCATGAATAAAGACAGATTTACTTCTTTTCTACCTGTCTACATTTTATTTCTTTTTCTTGCCTTACCACACTGGCCACTGGATTTAATTTTTCCCTTTTTCCCCTAGTTTCTTAAGAAGAAAGTTAAGTCACTGATCTTAGAGCTTTCCTCTTTTTGAATATAATGATTTGGAACTACAAATTTCCCCTAATGCATCGCAGTAGCTATACCCCAGACCTAAATGTGCTTTGTTTTCTGTTTTAGTCGCTCAGAAAATTTCTAATTTCCTTTTCTGGTTTGTTCTCTAACCTATGAATCATTTAAATGTGTAATAAGCTTTCTAGTACTTGGGGATTTTCCATATATCTTTCTGTTTTGATTTCTAAATCCATTCCATTTTATTTAATGAGTACATGTTCTGAATTACTTGAATCCTTTTAAACTTACGGAGTTGTTTTGCCCAAAATACGGTATATCATGCTAGACGTTCTATATAACCTTGAAAAAACGAGTATTCTTCTGTTGTTGTATAGTGTTTTATGAATGCCACTTAGATTGAGTTGACAATACTGCTAACTTCTTCTATAAACTTAATGATTTTCTCCCTAACATCTATCAATTATTTAGAGATAGATATTGAAGTTTCCAACTCTAATTGCAGATTCATCTATTTTTCCATGCAGTTTTATTACTTTTTGCTTTATGTACTTGGACTTTTGTTCCTGGGAGCAGAGAAGCAGTGCACATGCGCATGAGTGGGTCACTGAATGGGCTGTGGAGATCTGAACCCACTCAGTTGTAGGAGCTGTCCACACACTCTCTGTGAGGCTGCTGTCTTCATGCTTACGCCAGAGCCTGGCGTCCACAGGACAGGGAGGTGAGAACACGTATGTAAAGCAGGAGAACAACAACATGGGACCTTAAAAAAGCTTGGGTTGGAGCGCATAAGGACAGAAGGAAACCCATACCATTTCTTACCATCTCTGGCTGTGACAGTGTGGATATCCTATATGAACTGGGACCTTTGTCATAGAGCTAAATACTCCCTGGCCCAGGAGTGGGAAAATCTAAAGGGGGGCCCACCCAGTGGGAGGTGGAGCAGAGACAGGCCCGACCACAGCTCCTGCCGAGGGCGGAGCTAACAGACCAACAACAGCAGGAGGAGCTGCAGAATGCTGTTGTTTCTCACCCTGTTCAGAATCTCCACAAGGACCTCATTAGCAAAGGGAATTCTGGGAAATGGAGCTCAGAGTAGCCAAACTGGCATATTCTAAGGCCATCACACAAGCAAAAATACCTTGAAAGCACTGAGTGAAATATAACACATAATTTACAAGGAATGAGCAATTGAATAAGCTCGCACTGAACTATCAACTCACAATTTTACATTCAGGAAAATATCCTTGAAGAATGAAGCCAAAGTAAAGACATCATCAGATAAAAGAAAACAAATTCTTCTCCAACTGACTTGTACTACGAGCAATGATCATGGAAATTCTTTAGGCTACAGGGGAATAATATCACAGAGAGGCCTGCACCTTCCAGAAGGAATGAAGAGACGAAGGTGTTCTGGAGTCAGGGGCTGGGGGGCTGCAGACCTCTGACTGCACCAGCACCCGCTGGAGTGTGTCTTTCACAGGGAGAATTCTATCTCCGTAAAAAAAAGTTACTTAAAAAAAAAAAAGAACAAAGAGCATTTGAAATGGTAAACATGCAGTTTTATCCAAACACTAAAAGTTCTAACTCAAAATCTGGGGCAGACACGAAGATTAATCTTCAAATGGGAACATAGAAGTCTAATGAATGAACCGAAAGACTTAAAATTATAAGGTACGAAGATTCATTTAGGTGCTTTCAGAAGAGGCATTATTTCATTCAGGCCCCTCTCCGTTCTTCACACTTAAGTGATAAAATGAGTCTTTATCATTTCAACGGTTGCCATTCCAGTGAAATGAATATTAACCACATGACCAAAATAAACTAGCCAGTACCTAAATTACTCTCTAAAAGCGAGTTTCCTCTTTTTTGGAAAATAAAATTTCCTCTTTCTCTGGAAAATAAGAACAAGTATAATAAACATAAGATGGTTCTCAAAGGGATCCAAAGGTTCCACATCAATCTTCCTTAAGTACTCACTCTTTCTGCTCTATGTTGTTATTAGCTTTCCTTACAAAGAACAGAGCTGTAGCAGCCGGCTTCCAGTTGCATTCCGAAATCCCCAGCCTCGGCCGGGCCCTGGGCCTCCAGCAGCACCCGGCACCTCTGGTCGGTTCTCTGCAGTCCCCTCCCCGCCCCCAGTGCCTGTCCTCCGGCCTCTGAGGTTGGCCCCGTACACTGAGCTCACTGTCAGGAGCGGACGCCTGCAATGAGGACAGCAGGGCCTCCAGGCGGCGGCCACCCCAGCTTCCGGAACAGGTACTCACACACACGTGTGCTTCCGTGGGCAAGTCTACAACGTTTCCCATCCGTGTCCCCTTAGAGGGGCCCGCCCGCTCTGCAAGGGCTCGTTAATCCTTCAGCTGGGCCTCACCGACGCTGCCTTTTCCTTACATCTTACCTTTTTTTTCAATGGATTAAAAAAGCCTTACAGGACACTATTCATGTATTTGCATCTCACGTCTTACTTCATTCCGTCAACAGATATTTTGAAACTTGTTTTTTTTTAAGATGTAAAACATAGAGATGTGGTTAAATATCCATTCCTTTACTCTCACTACTGTTCAATCATTTTTAACTTACAAAATGACTTATATAGGGTTCAAGTAAATGTTGTTCTCAAGTCTATCATTCACATGCGTTTTTACACTTTTCCCCCATATATAAGTGATTATAAATATAGCTGATAGGATCAGCTACAATGCCTCATATTTCAAACTTTCCCCTCTTCTTTTTTGGCCAACAAAGTTATAAATAAAGACCATCATACATTAAGACCACCCCCCTCCCCACAAAAAGCAAGAATCAACTACACGACATCTAAAAGAAAATTCACTTAAATATATAGCGCAGGTTAACAGTAGCATAATGGGAAAAGATGTATCATACAAAATCAAAAGATAGTTGGAGTACTCATTATCAAAGTAGCTTTCAAAACACATATCAATGCTATGAGTACAGAGGAACACTTCACCACGATAAAGGGATAAATTCACCAAGAAGACATAATCCTCAACACATATGCAGCTAATAGAGATGTTTCAAAATACATGAAACACAGCAAATTTACAATTATAGCTAAAGATCCCTTTTTAGTAACTAATAAAATGAGTAGACAAAAAATTAGTAAGAATGTAGGAGACATGAAAGACACTACCAACCATGCAGACATAATGGGTTCTGGCAGAACACTATGCAGTAGAAGCAGAGAACATGTTCTTTTCAAGTGGACACAAAACATATACCAAGAGAAACCATTTTTTCTAGGCTATAAAACTGAATAAATTTAAGTGCATTAATATCATATATGTTTTCCAAACAGAAGACAAGTTAGGAGTCAGTAACAGAAAGAACTGAAAAATCTCTAGATTTGGAAACTGAACAATACACTTTGAAATAACCCCTGAATTAAGAAAGAATGACGAGGAGAATTAAAAATACTTTGAAATGGAAACACAACATCAACATTTGCAAAGCATGGCTGAATCTTTAGACAGAAACATGTAACACTAGTGCTTATGTTAGAAAAAGAGACAGGACTCAAAACATCACCTTAGCTTCTTCCTAAAGAAAATAGAGAAAAAAAAATATAAATTAAAAGAAGCAGAATAAATAAAGATCAAATTAACACATTTGTGCACAGAAAAACAATACACACGATTCATAAAACCAACAGCTGGCTCTTTAAAGAAAACCCAGCGACACCGCCACACCTCCAGGCAGACTGAGGAAGAGCAGGGGCGAGAAGACACCAATGACCAACGTCAGAACTAAAAGCGAGGCCACCACGCACATGCAACAGATACTGTGAAGACAAGAAGGGAAGATTGTACACCTTTTAAAGCCAACAAATTAGAATATTTAGACAACAAATTCCTTGTAGGCCACAAAATACCAAAACTCATTCAAAAAGAAAAAGAGCCTTGATAGCCCCATAACTGTTAAAGAAATTGAGTTTATTGTTAGCAACTGCCAACCAAGTCAAAACTCCAAGTGGCTTCCCTGGTAAATTCTACCGAAGATTTAAGGATCTGACAACACCGTCTACACACACAACTGCACGCAACCGCAGACGAAGGAATACCCCCCACCTTGTTCTTCAAAGGGGAACACGGGCTACAAATTAAAACCATACACAGACATTGTAGCGAGACAACTCCCAACATCACTCATGACAGAAGGACGCCAACGTCCTCAAGAAACACGTTGTGTGAAGCGCAGCAATATGAAATGAGGAGACCGCATCACGGATAGGTAGAAGGAATCTAAGGTTCATTCACCATCAGAAAACCCATCCACGTAATTTGCCACGTTACTACAACGTAAAGGAGAAAACCCATTCAATCGCCCCAACAGGTGCAGAAAAAGCTTCTGATAAAACTCAACACCTATTCCTGATAAAAACTACTAGCACCCTAGGGACAGAGGGAGAGTCCTCAAACTGGTAAAGGGGGTACAAAAAAACCTATGGTAACATCCAATCTTTACAACCTGTTACATGGAAATACTTCTTGGCTTAGAGAAGACTTACAAAAATAGCACGAACACGCATCCTTCACCCGCCCTCCCTAACGCTAGTATGAAGACACAGCCGTACCACGAGCACCAGACCTACGTCCCATTGGCAGAGAACACTAACTACCGACTTTGAAAGAGACTTGAAATGCGGAGACACTGCAGCCAGGCTGTCACTCTTCAAGGCTGCTCAGCAGCTCTGGTGCCCAGGAGATGGTAAGAGGTGTCAGCCCACGAGGACTTCTATTACTTACGGAACTTTACCATTTTTTGGGTTGTTGCCTCTCCTATCTCCATTAGCGTCACCTGAGGCTGTGTTTAGGGAGTTCCTTTGCCCACCCCACTGCGAACCTCCCCGTCCCTGCACCACCAGGCAGCCACCTGGGCCCGTCTCGGCGGGGGCTGCAGAGACAGGCGAGCCTGGCTTCCTCACTGGCGTGCTGGGTGGACCCTCAGAGCTTTCTGCAGGTGATGCCAAACTGCCACTTACCACGAGGAACCCGACACGGAGGAAGGAATCATAGTAGCGTCCCTAGCCTCCTAACAGGTAGCGATGCCACACTGTTGCTCTACCGCTGTCCCGTGAAGAACTTTTTCTTTTTCTGACTGACTCCTTCTTGGACAGGGTGTAGCAAAGAGATATTTGGTGGTGGTTGTAGCCTTGGGCACCAAAGGAAGCCTCTGACCATGTGTTATTTCTCTGAGACATAGCAAGGGCTTGACTGCACTGAATAGAACATCAAGATGTATTTTGGGAGTCAAAATTTCCTACATTCAATTAAATGTTCAGTATGCAATCAACGGTAGTGCAGAAGTGAAAAATATCATTATGACACTAAATTGTATCCACTTGAAAATCTTTTCGCTGTAAATTCCTTTTAGCCAAAACACACACACACCACACTACGGCAGGAGCTTACCTTTTTATCATACACGTCTTGCCAGTTCACTCCCGAGAAGAAACTGTGTCTCATGATTTCTTTTGCATCGTCTGGCCCTCCGCCAAGGCTATGAGGAGAGGAAGAAAATTAAATGAGCATGAAATATTTACATAAGCCCAACGCCTCACAGAGAGTTTTTGTGAAACGTAATTTTCTGTGTGATAAATAGTTCTTGTGATAAACAGCCATAAAAATAAAAATCTTCCACGGTAAGACCTAATTTCCCTCATGTGCTCTTAACTCAGGATAGTGCGGCATCTAAGAACGCAGGCTTGGGTGGCGCTACCTGAAACGGGCAACCAGCTCGGGAGTCTGTGTGCGGCAATGGAAAACCTACTTATCACCCCCATTCTACAGATGAGGAAACTGATATTAGCTGTTGTCGCCGTCAAGTCTATAAACCAAATTTATTCTAGAACGGCTCAAGTCAGGATGCACCCTTGTTGACATAAACTCTTAAGTGTCTAAATTGGTTAGAGAAACAATTTGTAGAGCACTACTAACAGATAGACACTCACAGACTATTTTCATACCTTGAATGAATTTCCACGGAAATGGAATTGTTCATCTGTGAAACAGCATTGCGATGTACTTTGCTAGGCAGGTTGCCATATAAATTATAAAGTGTGTAAAGGTACACCCGCATCTTTGAAGGTGCTCTCATTTAACTGATGCCTCACACAAGACGAAGTTCAGGTGTTTCCTGGCTTCCTCAGCTCACACAGTGCATACGAGTGGTGACGAGGAAAGAATGAGAGGAACAGGAAAAACAGAGAGAAGTGGGGAGGGAGGGTGCCAGGGAAATGCGAGAGCGCAAAAAGGAAGAGCAGGGAAAAGAGGAGGAAAAGAGAGGGAAGGGAAGCTAGTCAAATCTGACGCTGACGCAGCAAGCTTCCCGGGTCTGGTTCACGGCTGGGAATGACGTGCCCGGGACCGTGCTTAACGCCCAGGCCTCTGCAGAAATCGTGCACCAGTAATATGCACGGGACAGGTTTATTATGAACTGTACTTTTAAAAGGATGTAAAGCACAGAATTTATAAAGAATAAAAATATACAACGTTCTTTATCCTAAGTAAATTAACCAGCTGATGCTCCAGAAAACTTGTGTTAATTTTTGCTGAAGTCCAAAGCCACGGACGGACTAATGAGTAGTTCTGATGTGAGTACTAGCTGGTATTTTTGTTTCTGGTAAAGACTAAGAACAAAGTGACATACAACAGTCACACATGTCAGAGCTCCACCTGTGTGCGCGACATGTGAGTGACTTCCTTGCTGAATGGTTAATAGTTTCGGAACAGTAGAAGGACATTTCCTTTTTTGTGTGCCATTCATAATGTAATGGGTATAGATACAACAACCTTTAAAATTTAGTCTGTATTATTAACATTTTCTCTGTCACTTTAAGTCTAAACAATGGACAAAACAATAAATCAAGCCCTGATTTGCAGCGTTCGCCAATTCTGGTGATGTAAATATCTCCCACTATGGCCAATAGTAAAATATAACAAAATCATTAAAGAGAGATGAGTTTTGAGTATTTACTACCTTTGACTTTAATATTTTAACTTCCAGATTTATATAAGTTAGGTTTTAGTGATGACTCTGTAAAACCACCAGCTCATTCAATTCTTGAAATCTAACAATCGGCTCCTCACCGTTTCCACTTCACCATTCAGAGTTCCATCTATCATCCCGTTGCCGCCGCTCGGGAAGGACCCGCCTTTTATCTGGACCACTCCCACCACCTGCTCCTGGCCCTGCAGTGTCCTAATCCACCCGGGACAGAGCTGCCAGGGTTACCTTGTCATCACACAAGTCTGATGAACATTCCAACCCTTTCAATAATTCAGTGGCATCTCATCTCCTTCGGAATAAAGACTAAATATTTTCTAAAAAACCTAAGGTCCTCATAATATAACATATCAGCTTCAACTCCCAGTGCTACCCAACTCATATTCTACACGTAGTCACTGAACCTCTCAAATGCCACGCTCGTTTGCAATTCTTTACAGGCAAGTGTCTCGGCGTGAATGCCGATGCAAACCCCAACTCCTTCGTTGAGTCAGCTCCGCTTTTCCGATCCCCCAGAGTTAATAATTTCAAAAGCAATTTGCATGTAGTTTAACCTGAGCACCTGTGAATATGCCTTGTGCCCCAATTATTCTATATGAACATCGAGAGAAGATTATTCTATTCTGTTCATCCTTGCATTCCCAGTATTTTAATGCAGTAGTTGGCGGGGAGGGTGGCGGCTGCTTGATACATCTACTACAAAAGGAGACAGCAGATGACTGAAAATACCACACCTTCTCTTTAGACAGTCCTAGCCTCTGGGTGCACGAACCTTTAAGAGTTGTGCTACTTACCAGGCCACTAACGTTCCAAATTCACCTCACATTTATTGAGTAATTATTAAGTACCCACTGTGTGCTACTCACTGGGTGGGCTGCGGGGCAGGATGAGAACAAAAACGAATGAGACAGAGACATGCAAAGCACAGTACAGTTCTGTTCCGCCAGCCACATGGAGAGGGGCCACAAAGTCACCCAGAGGAGCCGGGAAAGGGTGGCGTAAGAACTCACCGCCCTTAAAACACGAACCAAATATTAGGTCCCTAAACCAAGTGGTTAAAATGGAAATCCTAACTCTTTTTAATGATTGCCAGTCACCAAGTACTACCTGTGACATTAGTTGTGAAATGATCACATTAAATGGAATATATTTCAGAACGCAACCCAAACTGATGTGCTGTGAGTAAGGCATACAGGGAGGAGGCAAAAGCAGGCTTACGGTTGTAAGTACATGAAACAGTTTATTCTGTGTGATTATTTATGAACTATTGTACTATTTTCCATATGAACAATTATAAACCTACTTTTGTCCCACTCTGTATAAGAATTTCAAATAGGCACCAAGAAACCTGATCCCTACTCTTGCTCCCTAAGAATATTCTGTGAGACCTGGGGTAAATCCCTGAAGGCTTTATGGAAATGAGAATAATATTTACCTTACCCACCTACCCACCTACCTACTCCGCAAGGCACTGAACCAGCAGGGAATGCAACAGATACAAAATTGCCTGAATAAAAAAAATCACTTTACAAATGGAATGTACAATCCCCGTTACCAGAATTACGAAATGCCTTTGTGACTGGTTCTTCACAAAGCAAAAAATGGTACCTCTTTTATTATGTTTGCTTATTTTTGCTGAAGGTAAAATCATGTTCCTCACAAATTGAGAAAGCTAGAAGCATGTAATGGAAACCATTTCTACGGTAGACAAAGCCCACATTTTAAGCTTCATTTATTCTTTCCTTCATGAATTCAGCCTATCAACAAATACATACGAGCAGCAACCAGGAACAGCACTTGTAAAGAAAAAACATTATGTGGGGTGTTATAAAAGATTCGACAATATATGAAATGGTCTAACCTTAGGATGCTTAAGATATTTTCAGAAAAAAATGCATATGTATCTAGATGGAAGAATGTATATATACATAGATACACATAAACACCTACTTTAAGGGGTACTAAAAATTAATAGTCATTTCATACATGACTTACAAAATGCATATCTAAATGAATACACAAGCATGAGCAAAGAACACTATAGCTCACTGAGAAAAGGGCTGTAGGATTCTTCAGGCCAAAGCTGAAGCTACAAAAACAGAAATACAAAGTGTATAAAGATTTTTTCAATCATTCATTTCAGACATGCATGGAAAAGAGTATCTTCAAAGGGATAAGCAAAAGAGGTGTTAAACATCTTGGGGTGAGCAGAGCGTAGAGACAGGTCTGGGATGTTCGTAACGTGAATCAGCGGAAATATAAAGGTCCAGAGACTGAGAGAAGAAAAGGAATGGTCTCATCCCACAAAAGAAGCGCCATGGCAATTAAGAAAGCTTGCTCGCAATATGGATAACACACATAAGATGGATAAAACTCCCCAAATCCTTATTTGGTAAAATCTGCATAAAATTTCCAAGTTAGGAAACAGTTCAGGGAATTTTTTAAATGTTCTCTATTATGCAGTTAAAAATAAGCCAGCATCTCAGTTGGAAGATGTCTACACCAAATACACTGCTTCTTGGAGCCACTTGTGTTTGAATTAATTTCCATACTGCAATTGCGAGCCGCACGCATCAGCGACTGCCGGGGTGTCGTCGGTGGCTTACCGCTTATTTGGATCCTTTATCAAGAGCCCTGAAAGCAGCGATTTTGCATCTGAAGAGAGTGTTCGAGGAAATTTAATGTCTTCCATCAGTATTAGTTCAAAAAGTTTCTCGTGGTCCTGGTTGTAGAAAGGGAGCCTCCCACACATCATCTCATACATGACGACGCCCAGGCCCCACCAGTCCACGGCCCGGCCGTAGTCGTTGTCCTCCAGCACCTGAAAGGGAGACCGGGGAGGAGGCTGTTGTTAACACATTAACTCTGAAAGCATTGTGGGTCAAACGGAAGATTTTTACATACAAAGGCATTCTACCTTTCAAGGCCTAGGCAGGCAATTTGTAGATCTTGACGTTTAAACTATGAAGCATCCTACCATAGACGCCGAATACCTGGAATGTGTCACAGAGACACAGAGATGGCCGTGCCACCGACTCCAAGTCGGTGCGTACGTGAGTGCACGGAGGGGCGAGGGGAAACCGTGGGCAGGTCTGCACACTGTCTCCCAGGCCTGCTAAATGTTTCGTCCTGGTTCACCAAGGGGACTTGAAGCAGCAACCTAGTGCTGACTCCAGGGCATCTCGGCGCTGCTGCGCCGAGAAGAGCTGAGCGACACCCATCAGACAGCAGAAGACAGGTGTCAACGGTGTCACCAGCCAGAGCACAGGGCACGGCCACCGTGAAAATACATCCACCCCCTTTTGGAGGCCCCTCCACGTGTAAACTCAGGAAATCCTGAGTCCACAAAGTGAATATGGAGATGTATTGTCTAGGCTATAACACACTTTGACAAGAAGAGTCATGCATTCAACACCTGTATAGTATATACCTTGAATTTGCTTCACAAAATATATTACACACAATTTAAATTTAGGAAGAAATGACATGAAAGTATCAGGCTCTGTTCGAGCAAACTGTTCACACTGGGACATGATAACTTGCCACTGGCTCGGGAGACGTTTGATTGTGCCTTTGTATTAGGCGTGTTCCTCGGCCAATGGAATTTTCTTCATTCATCTGGAACTTTCAGTATCTTATTTTTAATTATTATATTTGAATCATCTTAAAGCTTATTTTTTCTGAGCCTCTTACCTTTGGGATAAACCAATCAACCATACCATACACGTGAAATTTATTAATTTAAAAAAGTCTTGTGACTGACTGCCTAAGAGGGAACTTGACAGAGAACAAAGCAGTGCTCATATTCCAAACTTCCTTAGTCTGGAATAAGTAAATACACTGTTGAAGGTTACTCCTATGTGGCTTTTATTTAAAATTTACCAATAATTTCACACAACTGTGCACGACATTTTGGATAGCAAAGGCACGTCGGTAGATAGGATATTTGAAGATGGAGCATGTACTTTCAAGAAAAACACTATGTTACTTGAAGATATGTGTAGTGGTGTTTTCGAGCGCTCTGAAGGATTTTTAATTCAGCTGCATCACTGTTCTGTGGCTGAAGAAGCCTGGGAACCAACAACACTGGCAAGAGGCGGACACAGGTCCAGTCCCACGTGTTCCAAAAATCTTTGGTAAATCACAAACTAACCAAAACGTTTTCAGGAAAAACAGCAAATTCTCATTTTTTATCTTTGGCTGAAAATATTTCAAATGCTTGTTTGTTTGAAAGGAGTAATGTGAGAACATACAGAAAACAAGAAATAACCTAACGAAGCAGAGAAATTCCACTTGCGTTCTTAAGTCAAAGAAAATGCAGTTTTTAAATACCAGTGACTTTTGATTATTCAAGACTCTCTCTCACATCCAATTAATTGAATGCATTGTTTGTGGGCCTTTTCCTAACAGATCCAGGATTTTACCTAATAACAAAAAATGTTAAAATCTAAGCAACCTTTCTCTGCATTCCTACAGCACCAGCAGAACAGAGGCACACGCAAAAAAAGAGCCCAAATGTGGTTTTTAACCTCTTTTTTCATAAAACCATAAAAAGCATAAAAGCTGGATTAACTGCCTCCCGAACCCACATTTCACCAGCCGGGTTCTCTTCCCCAGCTGGCAAAACTGGCAATCCCTTATTTTTGTTTAAATACCTGGTTTGCAGCCAGAAGGGAAAGTGAGTACATAAAAAAAAAAGGGGGGGGGGATTTTTTGAAGAGAAATAAGCATTTGAAAAATAAAACTGCACTGTAAAAAAATCTGTTTGATAAAATAAAGTGTATTTTATTTAGCTTTGTAAAATGAATACTGACTCTCCAACTAAGTGGTTTTGCTTCTGAACATAATGTGCCTTAATTGATATAGAGCTAGAATGCTACAATTAGAACTGCTTGCTGAACCACTTTGTACTGAACAAATTTGATGTAATGTATTATCTTTTTGACACATAAGCTTAAGCAGTGTTAAGGAGAAAACACCCTAACAGCTCAGCCAGCATACTTGATCTGAGTCTTTGCTGCCGGTTAGAAAGACAGACTTCTGCTCAACTCCTGCCTCCAAACAGCTGCAAGATGACATACACAAGAAATAAAAGTGATTCTGATATTCTACATGTAGATATATAATATACAACGTGTTATCACTATTCATAAAATGTCCTTTCACTCTCCTTCAATATAAATTATTTCAAAACAGCACCTGGAAATGCTCTAGAAATTCCAGAGTGGACTTAAAGTCCACAGCCTCTTTACATTATTTTTGGAAGACAATTTTCTCCCTTACTCAAAGCACTTCTTTTTCAAAAATTATAGAAACACGCACAATTCATATTCTTTAACCTAAGAGGTGCAGTTCCTTCCGGCCACCTCCACTGATTTTCTCCCCTAGCACAAGGGCCGATCCACTGTGTGGTTCTCACAAGAACTAATGCAAAGGCACGGTCAGTGGCGACAGAGGGGTGCAATGGTGGTGTGTTCTTCAACTCCGCGACAACAGTGTCACATAACTGGGATAGAAATACAGACCAAAACCTACTCCTAGAGAAAGGAGTAGGTTTCACTGGAAGACTTATCATCTGAAATAATTAATCTAAAGAAGTGTCTCTAGGCCGTAAAGCCAATGTTGCTGACATTTCACTGAACTCCAGGTTCGGGTGCGGATGCAGACACTCGGCGTTTCCTCCTAATCCCCTGGTTCTCTGGGATCACAGGTGTAGCTCTACCTTACTTCACAACAACACTGAACACGAACGCCCAAGCAGACATAAGAGGACCAGAGAGGCTCTGGAACACGAAAGGAAATGCAAATGATGACAAATGGTGATGGGCCACTTCAAAGCCACACCCAAACAGCAGACGTGTTGGAAGATGGGGCGTAATCTCACTGTTTCCACCAGGACCCAGAGATAATCTCACTTTCTGATGAAATAAAACCTAAGGTTCAAGGAGGTCACAGCAGGTACCAATCGCTATTAAATATTCCGGTAATATATGACGTAGACATTTTCATCTATAAAACAACCAGGTGAGTTTAAGAAAAAAATCACCATAAGTACTTCTTGAATGAATGGTGACTAATTTCAAAAAGTGATATTAAATAATGAACTATGTATTTCGAAATGATATCATCGATGGACACTCTCAATGTTAACACTGATTTGGCGAATGGGCACTTTCAAAAACACCTTCACCCTGCTATCGCTTTGCTGTGGGGATTTACTGGGAAGTTGCAGAAGACCTCCCTCTGCCCGCTCGCCAGGACCGCACGACGCACCCAGGCGAGCAACTGCAAGGAGGCTCCGCATGCCCTAGAGTGGCTCGCTGCTCAATCAGTAACCCTGGCAGAACAGATGGGGGAAGGAATTAAACATCTAAACAAACTGTCTGCCCACCTATGTTGTGAAAGTAAACTGCGAACTTGGATGAACCAATTTACCGCTAATGCAAAAGAAATTTTTTTCCTGGCAACCTTTATATTTCAGGTAGCTGACGTGTGTGTGCTTTTTATATATACACACACACTCTTACAGACTTTATCATCTACGGGAGTCCTTCACATTTTAACATCACAGACATTTGTTTTAAAAAGACCTATAAATATTCTAATTCATATTCTAAAATGTACTGCAGATTCGGGAGAAGTATATATGTCATAAGAATTATGGATTCCATGGTTTCTTGGCATTTCTTTCATAAATACATGTTCTCTAATAATTTTTAAGAGATTGTAACTGCCACCTGCTGGGAATTAGAATGCTGTAAGCTTTCTGGCTGGCTCCTAGCATTCACACACAATTCCTGCACACAGCCTACATCGGACCTTCCAAAGCAATCTCTGGCTACAACAGGCAACGTTCTTGAACAAGAGAAAAGCTAAGTGGGTATAATACTGGTGACTGATTCATACTTAACACGTACCTTCCCAGAGCTTTCTATACTTGCTCTTTATTCCGAAGCAGCCAAGAAACTGGGTCTTTATGACCCAAATAAAAATAGCCGTTGTAAAATACTACGGGTTTATCCCTGGTATTACCAGTTAGTGTTACTTTCGCATACATTCTTATGCTTCAGAGAATTTAAAATTAAATTTTATGCTAAACTAGAACCACTCCAAAGTATCAGCTGCAAACAAAAGACCACATGGCACTGAAGAAAACTTCAGGTGAAAAACAGCGACTACAAGAACTGACAGACACAAGTAAAACCTGCTCCTTACAGACACTGACAGACGCCAACGTCGAACTAAAAATACCATTTTGATCATGTTTTAAAAATGTTCAATTTCAAGCCAGAATGGGATGGTTTTTAATATCCAGAAACAGTACAGTGAGTGGACACATATAACAAGAGGTTTTAATATTAATTCTCATGACAAAGCACACAACTTCTACCTGAACCGAAGACCTAATCTGCCCCTTAATGCTGGCGATGACGTGTTTCTAGAACCATCAGGAAGGAGAAGGCTTTCAAAAGCACCTTAAGGACAGGTGTGTTGTGGGTTATTAATAATTAAACAAACTATTTGAGGTGTATGCAGTTTTAGAAAGGGTACCAACGCAACTTTCTATTTTCACAAAAATCTTCCAAGTTTGAAGACTTAGTTTCACAGTCTGGTAGAAACGGCAGAATTTTGTCCAAGGTTAAGCAAAATGTTAAGTATGCATGTATACTACTTTTACCTACAGATTAAATGTGCAAACACAAGTAACTCTGGCCTCACTTATTTCTCTTAAGATCTCTGAAAGGCTGTATTGACAACCCAGAAAATGACACCTTTTACATTTCTTCTTTGTCGTGTTTAAAATAAGCAAATAAAACGCCATTCATTACACTTCAGTTTAGCCAGGTTCTAACTACCCCTCTGCCTACGCCAATGCATGCTGCCAACTGCCTTTGCCCATATTCTATATGATTTCCCAACTCCTGAAGAAGGTAATTTCTATCTTTGGCTTTAAATTTATACAGAATTTAATTTCCCTTTGTATTCTTATCAATACATAGCATCACAATGACTTTGAGTGAACCTTTGTATCAACATAGTTACCAAAATATTCTGGCCTATTTCAGATATTTTCAAAATATGGGTTAGATAAAATACAATAAAGATAGTAGGTTTTAAAAGAAAATTAAATAAAATGACAGTAAGTGAATGTTTTCTAAAAATTTGTTTCTAAAAACCAAAAATGCATCAAAAATACATTTTCAGCCCCTGGAAAATTTTTTTTACATTTATATGAAACAAAATTATAAACATTTTTTTCTCTGTATAGCAATCACACTACAGGCTATACATTTTCCAACATTCAAGTCATTTTTTTGCAATCTTTTTGTTAGTTCTAACTTGATTATCAAATAATTTTTATTTTTACACTATTACAGAAGTGCATTTCTCTAGGTTTCCAAAACCACCTTATTCAACCTTCCCCATCTGTCACCATCTGCTTCTTTTTAGCATGTACTTTTTGTGTGATCACATAAACATGTGAAAAATAACTAACATTCAGATGATTATCTGCTGGTACATTTGAGGACTGGGCATAATAAAAGTGAACTGCCAAAACGTACTTAACACTTTTAATTTTGTTGGGTCTTGCATGTAAGCTACATTTGATTTTCAAACTGTTTTACAGTTGGAAAGTCGATCAGGTACTGCTAACTCAAGAGCAAAGCTGAGACTAAATAATTAGCACTGTATAAAATGGTTTGTATCCGACGAGAGCCAACTCAAATAATGAAACTTAACAGTAAGGGTTGAGACGTGATTTCTAATTTCTTCTTTAATTTCTAGATGGGAACGTAGAGTAGAGTATGCACAACCGAATTCCCTTCAAAATATCCTACTGTCCAGAGAGAGGGGCAGGTCGAGTGCGCTCCCGTCTAGTCTCAGTAAGAGCAAAAACACATTCATGTATAATTGCAGACACAAGTGCATTTTAGAGCTGTAGCCCAGTTAGTGCCTAGTCCATGTGCCTGCTGGGCCTCTGCTTCTGCAGCCTCTTAGAAAACACGTGACTTCCCTCCCCCGCCCCAATAACACTAAACCTCTACAATTCTTCATCAAAAGAGGTAAGAGAACAAATATTTTTAAAATATTGTTTTTTCAACAAATGGCACTTTTACACTGTAAGACTTGTTTTTCCTAGTGGTCTTTGCCAGAAGAAGAAAGTTAAGTTTATTTAAAGCTTAAGTTTATTTACAAATCAGCTATAAATCTGATATACAGGACAGGAATCAGATTTGAACTGATTTCCACTAGTCTTTTTGAAGCATCTTTTAAATACCCTTCACCTTTAAACAGCAAAGCGTTTCCACCAGATTAAACCAACTGAAAGGGTGAGCACTGTGAGGGCACAGCCGAGCCCCCATCCCGGGCAAACAAGGCTTCCACCAGGAGACAAGGGACAATGCTGACAGTGAGCTGCTCACCAGAGAGGCAGTCTGAAAAACGCACTCCAGGCTGAAAAAAAACTAGCACCTAGAGCCCATCAAGGAAAGTCTGGATTAACAGGGGTAAGTACGAGAAATTTCAGGGTTCAAAAGAGGTGCGACACACCCAGGGAAGTGAGGAGAGAGCTCGTTCCAGCCCCGGCCAGTCCCTCCCTCACTCTGACCATCTGATCACAGTGTCACCTCGCTCTCAGTGCAGAAGTGACTTTCCTTTCTCCCGGAGATGCAACCTGAACCACACCCTACCCTGTCCACGTGTCCCCCCTCTGCTCTCCCTGCCTGCCCTTCCTGCCCCCGGACTCTCCCCGCAGCCCCCACCCACTCCTCTCCCTTCCCTCCACCACCCTCCCCGCACCTCCACCGGAGCAATTAGTGTTTGCACAGTAGTCATTATGCTCCGTACCTCGTCACCTTAGTAAATGTAAGATACTTGAGGACAGAAACCTTTTCTTACTGTCTTTGTATTCCCCGCACCTAACATAATGTGTGGCACCTAATAAATATTCAATGACTATTTCCTTAGTGAACGGATGAGTGTTCTCAGTGCAACGGTTCATACAGAAGACCAGAGAAAGGACCTCAATTCTTTGGTCAAAGTGAGAGTGAGCACAGTCAGAGTTACTCTGATTTAACAAACATGAAGTGTGTGACATAAATACTTAAAATGAAGAAATTAAAATTGCATGAGAAATTAATTGTTTCACGATTTGTCATCCTCAAAAAGTAACGACAATGATCACTCTCCCCGATAAAAATGAGGTGTCAAGATTTTAATTATGAATCACCACGTAACAGCCAAAGTTATATAAACTGCTTTTAAAGACCAGGCTTCTAACCAAAGTGTCGCAGGTTCAATTCCCAGTCAGGGTACATGCCTGGGATGCAGGCCTTGGCCCCCAGCAACTGCACATTGATGTTTCTCTCTCTCTATTTCCCTCCCTTCCCTCTCTAAAAATAAATAAATAAAACCTTTAAAAAAAAAAGACCAAGCTTCTGCAGTATTAAAAATGTGTGTGTGTATATGCATATATACATATATATAGAGAGAAATGTTTTCTTATTTCTTACTTGTCTTTAAAAATAAATGATCAGTTTCTTGCGAACTGTAAACTTTCCATTTAGAAACAACTGGGCAGGCCCTTCTTACATTATGTTCTTGGTTCTGTTCTTCGGTTGATGACGTTTGCCTACAGAACAATATCTCTGTTTCTTAGGAGATCATCTGCTTTTAAAGTTAGATGTATCTACCTTTTTCAGAAGAAATGATTTCCCCTAACTGTGACACAGCCGATTTTGTTATTCTGAATTTGGGACAGCATCACCCGTCGCCAGTGAAGGCAGGGGACACCGGACTCCAGAGGAACAAAAAGTCTGTTTCTCACGACAGTCACGCAACACTCCTAGTCCAGAGCACGTTCCTTGAGAACGGTTTCCTTGGTGTCGTGTTCTCTGCAGCCATACCACCCAGAAAAACACCCAGCACACGGCAGGCACGCCGAATGTGTCTGCCGAACACACGTGCAAATGAGCTACTCTGGAACCCTCAGCACGGGGTCATCAGTGGGAGCTGCTTGGGTCTGAATTCCAAACTGTAGCTACTGTTGTTCCATGAACTCTCCCAACGAAATACTTCCCCATAATTATGAAAACCCACAATCCTACAAATCCAAGTGATTCGTTCCTTTGTTTCTAAGGCAAATCCAAATGGTTTGTAAAACTGTAAACGCTTTTGAAGTCATTCAATTATTCTGTTTAATAAATGAATCAAAAAGGGCATAATAAAAAAATGTGTATGGCTGACAACTAAAAATGGACTTCTACTGTAGTTAATACCTTTGTGCCCATAAAGTTTATAAAATTGAATAGGCATATATATCCTTGCCCTATAGTATCACGTTATGTAAGTGACAGGGCCTGGCGATGCGGCTCGGTTGGTCGGGCCATGTCCCGCCAAGCACAAGGCCCCCGGTTCAGGGCACGTGCCTGGGTCGCGGGCCAGGCCAGGCCAGGTCCCCAGTTGGGGCGCAAACGAGAGACAACTGATCGGCGTCTCTTTCCTTCTTTTTCTCCCTCCCTTCCCCTTTATTTAAAAATATACAAACAAAATCTTTTTTAAAAAGTGGGAGTGAAATAAGATGAGGTTCATGTTGAACTTCAGGTAAAAACAGTTGGTCCTGCAATTTCTGAACGCGTAAGTGGCCTCCTCTGCAGAGCATCACAGCAGTGCTCCCCCCACCCACCCCAGCGCTGAGGGGGCCCGAATCGCGCCCACCTACCTCCGGGGCCAGGTACTCCGGTGTCCCACAGAACGTCTTCATCGTGGCTGCATCCGTGATCCCTTCTTTGCAAAGCCCGAAATCTGTAATTTTTATGTGGCCATCTTTATCCAGCATCAAATTCTCCAACTGTATAGGAAGACAAATAACACGACTTGCCCCGTATTCTTGAAACAGAGGAAAACACTGTTTTGACACCACTAGTGAGTGCTGAGTAAGACACTTTGGGAAGAGGACACAGTTGTGAACAGAGCTTTCAGTACTTATAAACCCTGTGGCTTCTGAATGTATGTGTAAAAAGAAACACGTTTTATTAAGTACTTCGATAACAAAATTATTGACTTGTTAAACCAATGGGAGTAAGAGCCATTATGGTTTAAGTTCTAAGAACTAAAGCCTAATGAACTTTTTCTAACAAAAACCAATCCTCTTTGTATTTAACTGAACTGTGATCCAAACAGTCCCAAAGAGAGGAGCATCTTCTTCTGGAGAGATACAGATGGTTTTCAACAGTTTCTCTTGGGGATCTGCTGCTATTATAAAATATTCACTTAGAGAACACTTTTTTGCTGATTGTTGTAATCAAATCTAAATCTTATTTTGCAAGGTAAGGTGGGTATCCTCTTTTGCAGTTTTTTGTAATAAAGAAATGCCAACCATTTTAAACATAAAAAGAATTACCCAACATTCAACAGTTAATGAAAATATATAGCACAAATATTACCTAGTTGGAATCTCTTTGAAGCCATTAATGACAAAACACCAAAGAGAGTCTTAAAGATCTAACCGAAAAGCAAGATCACCTGCCTCAATAAGATCTTTTAAAAAAATTAAAATAGCCCTGGCTGGCATAGCTCAGTGGACTGAGTGCAGGCTGCGAACCAAAGTGTCGCAGGTTCGATTCCCAGCCAGGGCACATGCCTGGGTTGCAGGCCATAACCCCCAGCAACCGCACATTGATGTTTCTCTCTCTATCTCCCTTCCTTCCCTCTCTAAAAATAAATAAATAAAATCTTTTAAAAAATTAAAATAAAAGTTCTTTCATTATCTAAATTCAGAAATCTTGCATCTTCTGTGTGCTTCTCTACTAACTGGAACCTGAAATCCAAGCCTAATTTGCACAGATGGCAACGAGTCCTGAGCACGAAAACCAAACAGAAACATCCAGAAAGTGTCTCTGTCTGCTTCTCTTTCTTCCCATGATCTCCTTCTCTCTGCCTTCGCCTTTCTCTTCTTCACGCTTCTGGTTTTCTCCCATTTTCCTTCTTTCTTCCTCCCTCCCCTAAACTGCCACAACGAGGAACAGAAGTCCAGGACATGCTGGAGGGTCTGCTGTTTTGTTGAATAAGGAATACAGTTTCATTTTTGAGACGGAAGGGGTTCTCCTAACAGCAGTGGTTTAACCTTCCTGTAAAGGAGGCAATCCCGAGGGACTGTGTGGTTGGGAGTGGGCACTGGGGAGGCATCTTGAGACTCAGCAGGTGAAGAAAGCAGGCTGTTTTCATTCAGACTGGGGGTCTGCTGGGGCGGACGGCAGGGAGCTGGCGGAGATGGGGCGGGGTGGGGGGGGGCTGTGGTAAACGAGGCTCTGAACCCACCCCTCTGCATCGTCACGGAGTCTACCATGATCTCAATCTATTTGAATAAACACAAAGTTATTAGTAAGGAAATGATGGAGACAAATCTGAGACGGATCAGTCAAAGTGGATACCCAGGTCAGTTTTCGGTGGTGTTTTTTTAATACAGCTGGTATAAATCTATTTAAAACCTTCATCCTCTGATCTTCGCCAACTTTATTCAACGTACAGTTCACCCTCCCTGAGATCTGAATGCACTCCCCCTCTAGGTTCCTTTCCATCTCTGGAGGGACGTCATGAAAAGAACCTCCGACCTGGAGCGAGGATTTGTGGGCTCCAACGACCCTGACCATGTCACCAACTCAGTCCACTACTTCAAGTCACTCACTGGGCTTCCAGAAGCCAGGGACCTCCCCTGTAAACTAAGGATCTGCTCTAACTTTCTATGATACCACATAAGGGTCTCACTCTATTTATGTATAATCCCATGTAATATGGATACAAGTCAAACTGTATACATTTTTAATGTTTGGCTGCTTACACTGTGCATATTCTTCTTGATATATATTCATATGTTTCTGTCCCATGCTTTTATATATTTACTTAAGACTTCTAAGGTAAGGCTATACTTAAAAAAATAAACTTAGCAGAGATCACTTAATTCTTTAGCAACGTTAGTGGTTTATGCATATGGTAACTGTATGACTCACATTCACATATAAAGTAGGTTCTTTATGTTGCAGTTTAATACATTTAATGTTTCCACCATCAGAAAGGGCAGGGCAATGAAAACCATATTAATGAACTTCAATACGCCAATATGTTCATGCTAATTCTGTTAATGGTAAATATTGACCAAGACCATCTTGATTATACCATTCTTTATACAATGCTAGCATTCTTTTCTTTGTTTCTTTAGGCTAATAAGTCTACCTTCCAGCTTCAAACATTTTGGATATGTTACCAAGTGCTTCAGAAATTATTCTCATTTCCTTAAATCCAGGATGTGCCGCCCCTTCCCTCTCAAAGAGAACTCATAAAATACAAAGTGGTAATGAAGGGAGGTTATTCAGGCAGAGAAGGAGTAACCATTTCTAAGTAAATTTGGAAATGCCATATAGCTAATTTAAAAAAACAAACAAACCTAAATTCAAGATCTTTAAACATTATAGGATTATTTGGTCACGCAGACACCAGATACAGGGATGCTTGACTCTGGACATCCCTGGTGATAAGAAGCGTCAGGCTAAGTTCAACCACACTGTGGACTGGTGTTCAGCCCTGGTCCACTGTGGCACTTGGCTGGCCATCCCTGATCTAGTCATTGTCACACGGTTCATTTTCCCTAAATACAGCATTTTACAGCTTCCTTTAAACTTTGGTTAATGATAATATTATGCAAACCTACATACTATATTTCACTGTCATTATGTAAAATAATACTTTGTGAGACAGATATTCCTTAGAGAATTCGTCACATAAAGGAATGTGATAGAAGCATCTTGAAACAACCTCCACAACTGCTTAAATAATTTGACAACTGAAGGATCCTGGGTGCCCAGACAGGAGCGAGAAGAGAGCGAGGGGATCCTTGAGATTTCTTCTTTATGCCGTAATACAGATACAAACAGAATTTCAGAAAAGATTCACGTAACTCCTATTTCTACAAATCAAATTATACTGTAAATAAACTAGTCCTTGATAAATAAACATAGCAATTCTGTGTCCGATTTTAATAGGTCAGCATTGCTACATGGTTTACTTATTGAGAAAGCAGGATGGTCACATCTAGAATCTGTTCCACAGGTGTCAGGGCACACATGTCCCCACATGGCCCATCGGAGTCCAAACAGCGTCATGAAATCACTACACCTCTGAGGGGCTGGTCCAGGGGTCAGCACACTGTGACCCATGGGTGAAATCTGGCCCCCTGCAGAGAGACCACATAGGCAGCAAAGCCCAAAATATATCCTATCTGACCTTTACCAATCCCAGAGCTATTCTGAAGGTCTCATCCAGAAGGAAGTTTGAGAAGTGGACTCACTCTTACCAATAAAACAAACACAGTGCTTTTTACAATGCAAGTTAAACAAATAAAAGGCTATATTAAAATACTCCAGGTATTTTATACCAAAAAATGAATACCAAAATTAAACCAAATCTTTTCCTCCAATAAAGTCTTATTTCAGTTTCTTCACAATCCATCAGAGGATGTTAGACTATAACAATGAAACTTATTTTAAAGTGTCACTTGAAAAGTGACTTGACGTTTAATCAGCTGTGTAACGTTACCCAAACTTTCACAGAAAACTGAAACTGTTCTTGGTAGATCATCCTTCATCTATTCTTCCCCACCGAAAACCCAGACACGAAGGAGCTACAGACACATCAGTGAAGGAAGTTTCTTCTCAAAGGCAGTAAACTACGTTATTAAACAGAATGCTTTTCCCCCAATTAAATCTGCTTTTTTCCAAACTGTGTAACTTTGTAATTACTCTGTTTGTCCCTCTAGTCCCTGCAAACAACAAAATTTTGATTACTTTTTTTTTTTTTACCTTGAGATCCCGGTACACAATCTTCCCGGAATGCAGGTAGTCCAAGGCCGAGACGATCTCCGCGCCGTAGAAGCGCGTGCGGTCCTCGGAGAACACCCGCTCTCTCGACAAATGGAAAAACAGCTGCAGGGTAAACAGCAGGGACAGGATTGTAATAATTACTGATTTAGTGGGGAAATTAACACAAACATAGAACACCTCTCATCACCATATTGTGATGATAGATGGTGTGCTCTCAGCGGACGCTCGGCACTCTTAGACGGCAGCTGGCTTATCTTTCCAGGTTTCCGAGGGGAGACGGCGAGCTGTTAAATCAGCGTTTTAATCAATACACCAATCTTGTTTAAGGCGTTCTGCTTGCTACCATTTAACCTTCGGTTACTGGAGGAAAAAAGTAGGCATCGTCGGGCTGCATTTCCCCTTCACCGGACTTGTTTTCACCCTTTCAAGCATTAGGTGTTGAGACATTATTCAAATAAATGAACATGAGCATAGACGTAATATTTCTATTTAATTATCTGATTTACATGGGATTTCAGAGACGGGACTGCCGATTGGCTGAAGCTGATTCATGTGAACTTGTTCTGTTCTCCATCTGTTGAATACATCATATCTGCAGAAATGTTTTCAAAGTTTGAATCGGTGTTTTCTATGGTGAGAAGCTATAAGGCTTTCAGTTTTTATTTTAGTCACGTCTAAAATGGGCTGAGAAACTCCCATTATTCCCCTTCTAATTCTCAATGTCTATTCATTCTCTCTGTTTGCAGAATAAACTACGACACTAATCTTTCTCAGAGAGTCACTTAAACTGGAAGCCCAGCCGTTTCCTAGTTAACCTCCACGCAGCAGCTGACAAGCAGCTATCGGGGTCTCTCTGTGGCCAGGCATCTGGATCTTAGTCAGTTCTTTAGGTAGGAAACTGCCTTTTTCATCTCTCAGTTTGACAGTGTGGATGAGGAGCAGGCTTCAGGCCCAACTGACCTCTGATGGACTATTTCAGGGCATCAAGAAACCCTCAAGAACAGGGACAGGTTGTTGCCAATGCAGAACGCCCTGCCAGGTATCACAGGAGATGCCCAACACGTCTGCGGTTAGAGAGACGAACCAACCCCTCGAGGTGCTTCTTCCTCGCTGCAGGATCCGAGATCAGCTCTGCCTTCAGCGACTCTTGGTGCTTCTGCAAATTTACGGCCATGACGGTTAACGAGATTTGTTGCCTATAGACCAAGTCAGAGCTTAGGTAACACACAAGAGGTTTCCTACAGATTCCTTCCCCTCTTTTCCACCTCCCCTCCACTGAAGAGTCTATCATGGTTTTGGCATAAACTGCATGCAGAGCCAATGGCCACATTAAAGAGAGACGTGTAGTATCATGTGCCTATTGTCAAAAATACTCACTCAACATTAGTTAGAGCAAGACTAAAACATCAGGCAGAGGGTCTTTAAACTTTGATGCTGCCTATTATATGGACATATTTTATCAAAGCTAAGATGCCACTGACTGGGATTCCATCAGTTTTGTGTTAAAACAAAGTAAGGGAAAAAAGTTAATCAAACCTACAACCTACCATCAAACAGAAAAGGCATTCTGACTGCAGAAAGGTTAAGTGTGTCTGACAAAGGGTCGAATACACAATGCCAAAAGTCCAACCAATGTATACAATTACTCAGCAGTATTTTTCAAAGTTCATTCATTTTATACAGGCATAGATCTAACCATTCAAACGAGCGCAGGGAGCGAGAAGTGTGGCACGTCGGTAAAGCCCCTCTGAATGATTTCTGGGTCAAAATCGTCTCTGCCATGCTTTATGCAAAACATCACTACCTTGGATGAAGGAACCCTTGTCACCTCTACGGAGATTTGTGGCAGTGTTCCAACAAAATGAAAATAGTGGTTAAGTTTATAAATTGTCCTAAAATAATGTCGAGCCTACCGCCCACTCATCTACTGTACAAAAGACATGGATGTTCCCAAAACCCATATAATACATGCAGGATTCTGGATCTTTATTTAGAACATATATCTTCAACTTGTCTCCCAGCCAATGTCTATAAAAATATATGCTAAAAAATTACACTGAAGGAGAGTTCTATTTATTTCTCAATCTGCCGTCCTCTGATGCCGCCCCTTGCCACATTATGGGACTTATTTTCGTTGCGATAACCAGGAACCTATTAACTCCCCAGCCCAGTTATTGACCGTCTCAACCCGTCTTCCTCTCTGGAGCCGAGTGCCACAGCCATGGCCTGGCCTTCCCGAGTCCCGCCTCTGGCTTTAGCAACAGGACTCTCCCCTGACTTCCTACCTGACCCTCTGGATATTCTTTGGCTTTGAACCAGCTTTCCATTTAGTGAGCATCGATTATGTTAAATTTACTCTGTGGGGCCCAGGGGAGAGAAAAAGAAGACACATGTAATGATTAGAACAACCCCTGCCCCCATCACACTCAACGCAAAGAAGGAGGGACATGCACAGGGACAAGCGAGAGGGCTGTGCGGTAAGTTTTCCAATTCTGACATTAAAAATGCTTTGGAGGCAAAGAATGATTAATCTTTATGACCCCAGGAAACTTCACAATTAGAAATGGGACTTTTTTTAAGGATGGGATTTTTCACAAAGAGACGCTACAAAGGGAAGCCTACAAAAGATTGCTATTAATGTTTTATCCATCTTTATCTTTTTAACAGCCTAGCACAGTACCTGCACATAATAGGTAACTAGTAAGTGTCTGTGAAAGAATTAATGCTAAAGAGAAAAAACAGCAACAGCAAGAAAACATTAAAGGAACACTCAACTGAAGAATGACATGCGTTCAGGCCAATGACAGGGCTTAAGTAAAAAGAGATGAGGAGATACATAGTTTAGGGTCCTGGCTGCCAAGACATGGGCTTGAGATTTGTTCTGAGATAAGGGGAGACCAAGAGTTTGGTGTTAAAACAATTAGCATAATTTTAAAAAACCACCATGGCAGCAATTGGAGAATCAATGAGAAAGGTCTCAGACTGGGTCCGGGAAACATCGCACAGAGTGCAACAAGAACCTTGCCGAGCACCTGTCAGCGCATCTGTGTGGCGAGTGGCAGCCACGGTGAGAGAACGGCAGCAACCTGCAAGGACGTCACTCCTGGACTGGGGCAACCAGATGCATAAACAAGCACACTAGAAATAACGGTAGCTATGAAATAGAGAGCACATTTGAGTACGGGAATGACAGTATCAGGAGTTACACACGAGCTGAGTAGGAGCGTCCGAAGGTCTTCAAGTAGAGTGGTGGCGACTGGCACTTCAAGAGTCACGATTCCAGAGGGCCTCACCTGCACCCCTGGGGTGTCTGGGGGAGAAGAACAAGTTGGGTTTCCCTGTGGGTGGTTGAGCGGATATTGCAGTAGCGGTATCGAGGGAGCAACTGGGGACAGGGACAGAGGAGCCACTGATTTTATTTTGACCTGTTAACATATCAACAAGCATGTGATACCACAGCTTTGAAATCAGGGGCCCCAAGGGTACAGACGTGGACACATGAGACATTGCTACACAGATGTGTGAAGACCAAGGAAGAGCGGTGTAGCCCAGGAAAACGGGAAAGAGAAATTAAGCTCAGATTCTTCGAGTGTCACTACACACGTGGACAAAAAAAAAAACAGAAAAGGAAGCAGAACAGGACACTGTGACAAAGCCCTGAGAGAAGTGTAAGAGGAAAGGAGAACACACCCGAGGAATGGAGGAAATGTACATTTCAGGAAGGACGCTGACCGGGCACAGGAATTAGGTCCTGCGTCACCTTTCAGGGAAGGGAATGTGACGGCAGAAATGGTACGTGACGCTTTCAGGAAAAATGAATGAGATGAGCTGAGATGTTACTGAAACAGAAGATTTTTGCTGCAACATATTGAACAGTGCTTTCAGGAAAAGTTGCCTGAAGAACATGGGAGATGCTATAAAAGCTACAATTCATATTAAAGGAGCAATGAGATCAGACAACCAGAAACAGGTAGTGTTATAAGTATTTAATATATGACAACATGGATGATGACAGTATATGACAAAGCATATGAGGAAAAATGACTATTTAATAAATGGTGCCATAATAGTTGGTCAAATCTGGAGAAAAGTAAAATTCAATTTTCATCTCACCTTGCAACAAAATAAATTTCAGATCTAATTAATAGTTAAATATAAAATATGATTCGATTTTTTAAAACCTGAAAATATAAATCAGTGGTTCTCCGGTTGCAGGATGAAGAAGGATTTTCCAAGCAGGACATAAATGAAGCAACCTGGCTGGTGTGGCTCAGTGGATTGAGCACTGGCCTGTGAACCAAAGGGTTGCTGGTTCAAGTCCCAGTTAGGGCACATGCCTGGGTTGCAGGCCAGGTCCCCAGTAGGGGGCATGTGAGAAGCAGCCACTCATTGATGTTTTTCTCCCTCTCTTTCTCCCCACCTTCCCCTCTCTAAATAAATAAATAAATAAAGTCTTAAAAAAAAGAAATGAAACAAACCCTAAGAGAGAAAACTGGTAAAATTAACCACATAGAACAGCAACAATATAAATAAAATTGAATATTTATAGCAAGTCTGACAACCCAAATGTCCACCACCAGCAGACAGATGAACAAATGTTGGTAGAGTCACGCATATGGATCGTAACTCAACAATAAAAGGAACAAACTACTGAGGAATGCAACAAAAGGCATAATTGCCAAAATGTTAGGCTGAGGAAAACCAGCAGACACAAAGGAGTCCACACTGTACGCTCCACTTCTGAGAAATTTTAGAAACAGTAAATCAAATCTTTAGTGTCACGTGTAGATGTTTGTCGAAAGTCACATAATAGGGAACTTGTATTGCATGTCGATTACAGCTAAGTAATGGAAATAATCTAGATATTCAAAAATTTGGTAAGGATTTAATAAGTTATAGTACATCAACATAACTAACTAGTAGATATCTAGTATATATTTTATAATATTGATAAAACTGGAAAATATACATACAGTATAAAAATAGAAAAAATATATTAACATGGTAATAGCAATTATTGCTAGACAGAGAGATTTAGAATGGTTTTTGTCTTGATTTATACCATGAAAATTACTTATAATTATTTGTTTACTCTGTTCCCC